GGTCTTTTTTTTTTGACGATATAAAGTTTAGACTGCTAATTCAGACGCACCATTTAGATGTTCGAATTTTATATGAGGCAACTGCACTTGAACCAGCTTGAAGTTTATACACATAATCTTGAGACTAAAATATGATACTCGATATTATAGTATGGATAAATATATTGTTGCACCTCGTCCTTTCTACTGGCATTTTGCATTTCCCTCACTGACTTTCGCCAGTGTAGCCTCGACAACGCACCTAACTCATCGGAAGGTGGGCACTGATTGGATACTCGCGCTTTACGGCCTTATTCCATAGCGACTTTCTCTGTCTACCTCAGTCTTGGACGTTTGGCCTCTGTAACTGTTAAGAGTAGGGCAAGTTCTTTTTTTCTAACATGATGGACTGTGCACTAGAGACATTCAACTAAACCCTTCCCCGCTGTTTTGTTTTGACACTTTGAGTATTTGTATTCTTATATCCTTTTCACTATTTTTTTGCTTTGTATGCTATTATTTTTAGGATTTTTGGAGAACTTGATTCTTTGCCTTTTCAAAAACCTTGATTTTGTGCAAATGAACCTCTTCATCATCGACCACAGGTTATTCCTAGGCGATTCCTTCGCTAGCAAAAAGTTTCCACGATGTTTTGAATTGAAATAGGTCATTCTGTGTATACAAGGTGTCCCAGAATAACGTGTGCAATGGAAGACCACAGATTCGTGGACTCAAAATAGGCAGATTTAGGCTAATTCACCTATATCCGAAATCGCTTCGTTTGGCCGCTAGATGACCTCAAAGTTCGTGAAAACTTCTAGAATTTTGTAAATAATTCGAATACGTATTATTCGATTTTGATTATTTTTGTGGTGTGGACTTTTGCTCTCAATCTACACATTTTGATGTCATACAAAGTCAAAAAACGAAGCGATTTCGGTAAAGATTAATTAGCCTAAATCTGCCTATTTTGAGTCCATGAATCTGTGGTCTTCCGTTGTACACGTTATTCTGAGACACCCTGTATAATATAATGAACATAAAAGATTATGACCGTATTGAGTACTGGTCAAAAAGTTGCTCTGGGTAATTATCTGGGGAATACCAGAGTCGACATTTACACATGGGGATGTCTCCTCCAAGTTTTACTGTAATCTTCATATTGGTTGCCGACACTAGATCCCTCTGGATTGATGCGACATTGCTTAGGCCCTTCGTGGAGTCTGGCTAGCTATTGGATTTTTCTTGACACTTCTAGTGTCGTCGTGGGACGCTCTGCCTACTGCACCTGTTGAGAGCGTTTGATGCGGCTTTGGGTGATGGGAGCGGCTTGGAGTTCCGTGGACAGCTTCGAAAGATGAGTGAAAATTTCGACTTCTATCCGGAATTGTTAGGGTGTTTTTCGCGACAGGCTATATGTGTTGACATGTGCTAAACTACCGGATCGTGTTTTGAGCTTTTCGGGCTCTTCGAAGGGCTTCTGATTGATTATTATTGATTTTCGAACACAACAATACTTTAGTCCAAAGCCGTTCAGTCCGCGAGTTAAAGGATATTTAAATTTAAAAAAAATGAACCCAATCTCTTCAAACTTCGCATCATGTTCATAGTATAGCTCTCTATCAGCAAATACATTTCCAACTCGATATGTAGCTCCAGTAACGCGATATTATCATAACCAAACACTTTTTCATCAAATCATAGACCTTATAAACTACTAGGTCTATTCATCAAATAAACTACAAATAAAATATGTCAAAATTTGTGAACAAACTTTAACTTAACTGACAGAACAAAACATTTTTAAACAATAGACTTTTTGTTTCATTCTAGTTAGTAAAAAAATCACATTAGAAATAATCTACGTAAAGCCACTTTCAAAAGTTGCTTTAGAAATATGTACATACGTAAATAACACGAATCATTAATTAAGATAAAAATAATACCGCTATGGTCTTCAAAATATAAATAAGATATAATTTTTTATGTATAACACTCGGTGTAACAGGAGACAGGAGCAAAGGTTTTTCTCTTAAGTAAGTCTTAAGTATATATAAATAAATGAAAGTGTTATACGTACTTCGATTGACCTAAATTTAACCAACTCTAAACACAGCTCCCACGAATTAGTCTACCCACATACGTAAATATTTAACTTTTACCAGGACTTGCTAATACTACATACTTTTTGATAGATATTTTAACCTTTGTAAACATATTTTCTTATAAAAACCTGTTTTTCGTTATATAATTCTCGATCTATCTAGTATTAGTTATGAGATCAGTTATTTGAAATTAAACATTTAATTATATTTAAAAAATTATGTATTAATGTGAAATTAAAGAGAATAGCATAGGTAAGTATATTCCCGAGATTATTTCATTGAAAAAGAAACCATTCCACTTTTAAGATTTTTTTTTAGTTAACCCCCTAATACGCATTATTTTCATAATATTCAAGAAAGATTAAAAGAACTCTGAGGAAATTACACTTCTTCTATAGACGAAGACATTACAAACACGAAAAAAAAAATATCATTATATACAGGGTGTTTCGTAATAACGTGCTAATATTTAAGGAGGTTATTCTTGGGTCCATTTAAGAAAAAAACTTCATATGAACATATGTCCTAGAAGTCTTACTTTTGAACTACAGCTTTATGAAAAAACATTTTTTTATGATAACTTTGGTATTACCCTAGATAGATATTTTTTCAAATTTGGTACACGCCTCCTATTCATCGAGATGCATTTTCTGATGCACAAACAATTTTATTATTTTTGCCAGTGGCGTCTGTATAGGTTTTGTATTGAATATTTTTGAAGAAAAATGTTACGCCAAAACCTGTACAGACGCCACTGGCAAAAATAATAAAATTGTTTGTACATCAGAAAATGCATCTCGATGAATAGAAGGCGTGTACCAAATTTGAAAAAATATCTATCTAGGGTAATACCAGTTATTATAAAAAAATGTTTTTTCATAAAACTTTAGCACCCTGTAGTTCAAAAGTTACGGCTTTTAGGACTCTTGAAGTTTTTTTCTTAAAATGGATCCGCAAGAATAACCTCTAAATATTAGCATGTTATTAAGAAATACCCTGTATATTTCAGTTGAAGAGATATTTTCGTTAGATATACTTCACGGGAATCTAATCTTAAAAGGTTTCAATGAGATGGATATATTACAAACATGGCACATCCCCGGGCACACCCAATTAGGATGCAGTTAAATTAAAAAACTCGATAGTAAATGAACACAAAATCGCTATAAAATCTCTACTTGATTTCATCGTCGTCTCCTAAAGGTTTTTCCCGATGCTCCACTGTATAAAATAGCGCCATTATACGGAATTATACAAAAAAAAAAAACATGACTTTTCGAAAGTCTGCACATAGCGAGTTTAAAAAGGAATCGCGGAGACAAATCAATTCGAAGATCAATTATTATTTTGAGAAAACATTTTCGAGCCATGACCAGCGTGGCCAGATTTTTTTTCGGGCAAAGCGGGATTTTTTCGTCCAAAAACGGGACATACTACGGGTTTGTAATTGATGCCTAAAAAAAAAGGTCTCGGGATATCTGGGAAACAAATTGTCTTCAAAAAAAAATCCTCCTGATTACGTATCAGGAAATATCTGTTTAATAACAGACCTGGAGAAAGTAATTGATGCCTAAAGAAAAAACAAAACAAGAGCGCGAAAAGCGGGACTAAGCGTGTCCCACGCGGGACATTTAATTTTGGGTTCAAAATCGGGACGTCTGGCAACGCTGGCCATGACACACTGTATAATACGTGGTCTCAGACGTTTCTATTTAAATGTTTTCTTAGTTTTGAACTCGGTTTTGAACAATACATATAAGTACATTCGATTTATACCTAGAGTCGTACAGCCGTGGACAAAAAAAGTCCGAGGGAAAATATTTAAAGGAGGTTAATGGCTAAAATTAATAAAATTCTACTATTTAAAAGAGCATAAGACTTTAAACCATAAGTCTAGGTTTAGATTGGAAACTTTTATTATCTACCGCTTTACCTACTTCGAATACTTAAGCCTCAACTTAGGTTTTAAATAGTGTTTAAAATATACTTAACTAGATACTGGCCAAAATTTATACACTAAAATACTAATTTTCATAATTAATTACAGTTACTTATATAAAATTTAGGTTGCGCAACTTTTACAAATAACAAAAAGTATGAATCATATTGGATTTTTTTTTATGGTAAAATGGTAAAATCTGTAGTTGTTAGATCACTGTAATCGTAAGTAACCTGATCTTGTGTCATATTTTCCGAAATGATGAATTTTTCATACTTCAAACTTTTTTGCGCACAAACCAAAAAAGGGGTAAAAATGGATCATTTCTTCTTCACATATACAGTTGCAGTTACTCATGTAGGTACCTAACAACCCTTGTGCAGATATAAGATATAAAAACATAAGATCTCCAAAATTAACCAAACCAGCCCTAATCTTAGAAAATCGTACGAAAAAGGACAGTTTAATAAAAAAAATCAACTCTTTTTTGGGTAAATTAATTCATTCACCCAAAGAACACCATGTGAACTATCTCAGATAGTAAGTAGGTACTTCTTAAAACACATACTTATATCCTCGAAAAATATTAGTAAAGTATGTAGATACTACTTTAAATGGTAAGCCAAGCAGGCAAAACATTCTACTTTCAAAAAGGACCTCTTTTTCTCTTATTTTAATTTATTAAACTAAAATTTACTTTCATTAATGTTAATGGTGTATCTAGTTGTAATTCAAAATAAAATTTTCTCTTTCCATTGAGTTTATATCAAGGGGGGAACTGCAGAAGTAATTTGGTGAAAAAGCATGAGTAATATTAGAGTAATACTTTGGTAATATTGAAGTATTAAAACAATTATTTATATCGTTCAAATTTTGGCCAGTAGTTTTTCCCTAAGTTTAGGTATATCTACAAATGGATTTTTTTAAGTGAATTCAAAAAATGGTAAATATAATATTAATAAATGATTGTTACTTACTATGGAAGGGAATGTAGAGCTCTAGACGTTAAATTTAATCGTATTCTATCTTGATTTAAAGTATCTATCGATGGAATGAAAATGCAGGCTTCTTCTGGATTAGCCGTATAATATTTAGAGTTAATCACAGCTTTCAAGAGAGAAAAATATTCTTTGGATATATGTTCTGTGGCCGGGACACCTTGCTCATCAACATATTTTTTTAACGGGTACACATACACTGCTATCCTATCATGGCCAGTATGACCACACTGATATATATTAAAACAGTCCCAGTGTGAGCAAAGGGCATTTCTGGGACTTAGAACACTTACACTGTTAGATAACTTCACCTCGGGTAAATTGTGTAAATTTTTAAGTTCGACTCGCTCAAATTTTCTTGACACATCACTAGCAAAATTTGTAAATGGAACAGATAATGCTATAAATATTGAAACAATTAGAAGAATAAAGAAAAAATTCTTATATTTTTTATATGTTGAAGCACTAGTAAAATTATACACTTTAGATATTGCAATTCTAGTGGGAACCGTCATTTTCTGAACGACTAACGTTTATGTTTACTGAAGTTCATTGATAAATACATGGCACTACGAATTTACAATAAAAAATGTTTTATGGATTCACATATCTGCTTTTTAAGTCATATTTCTACTCGTACCTACTGACACTACCATCACCATCACAACTGCACAAAATGACAAGTAAACAGACATTTTAGGTTAGATCAATTTTTGAGAATAGCATTCCACCACCTAAACAACCACAAATTCCACTAAAGTAGGTACCTAGTTCTAATGAAGACATTGTACGTAAAATGTAAAATGTGACGTTTACTGTTTTTACTTCTTAGGAAGTAATATAATTAAATAATAATTCAAGGTGAACTAAACATGTTGACTATAGTTTGTTTTGAGTATTAAATGAAATATTACAATGCTAAAATAACGCTAAGGTCATTTTTATATAATCGGGTTGAGACAGACTACATCAATAAATTTATTTTCTACCTTATCAAAGATTATAGATCAATTGTACTTTAATAAAATGTAGTTTTAAATTTTGCGTAAATATTAATCTAGAGAATGTCAATCTGAACTGTCAAGTATTTTGACTGAACTATGATACTACAATGGTTGCATATGTTTACATTCTTAAAAATAAAATATAATTTTCTGTTCATCCTAACCACAGATTAAAAAAACACTAACTTTCGTTGTCTATTTTCAGCAAATAACAACATCATAACATCAACTACAATCTACGTAAAACATGCAAATGGACTTTAGAAGAACAATTCATTTAAACATTCGTAGATATGATTTATCTGGTATAGCCCTGACTTATATGGTAAAACATGAAACTATATTCAAAATGTTTTTTTAGAAAATCCAGATGTTTTGAAGAAAACTATAGAGTTGTCTTCGTATATTGATTGTAATAATCTAAAAGGGGAATTACAAAAACTGTTTGATATAAATGATGAAAAAGTAATTAAAATTCGTAACAAAGATGGAGTACTCGTACCAATTTCATTTTTACTTGATTCCAAAGATAAGTATGTAACAATTTCAGTAATCTATATTTACATTTATGGGGTTATTCACACAACATTCTACTCTTGTATCTGTTTTACCTTCCTCTTTCTATCTAGCAAAAGGTGGTAAAAAATTTATGAAATTCTCTTGTAACTTCAAAGAAATATATAAAAAACTGTTGACTGTTGCTGTTATAAAATATAAACAATTTTTTTTAATAAAATATCCTATATATTTTTCGTTTTTTAGATTACTCCATTTTTCAAATTATATTGATATACTTATACATGTCGTATACTTGCCTTGACAGTTTGCACAATATTTTGTTTATTTGCAATTCAGTTGCCGCGACAGAATTACTTAATCCTATAAGAAAAAAATCATGAATTTTATCGCGGCAACCAAATCCCTGCAACCAAATTGCATTATCAGATACAGGCTTTAAAGAGGTGAAAAAAAGGTGTAGAAGTGTAGAATGTTATGACCCTGCAATAAACGCAATATTTTTTTCTAGTTCCTTTTTCATCGACATAACAAAAGTTTCATATATTGGTAAGTTGTATATTTTTGTTAAAAGTATCTAAAATGAAGTCAATAAAAAACAGAGATTTGTAGTACACTTACAAATAAATTAAAGTAATTATTACTTCAATAAAAAGTACAAGTCCTACAATTCATTTTAAACTAACATTACACAAATATAAAGGGCCTTCATAAATGATTACAAGCATGTGACCGCCGAGCTTAGGGAACCAACATTGCACTGTCAACTAAAAATCACGAAAAAATACTCTAATCAGCTGCCTGTCAAACAGAATGTTATGTTTTAATGTAATCTTGATCTTATTGTTTTAATAACTTTTAATTTTACTAAAATTTAATTGTCTATCTGAAGGAAACAAAATTCCGAGTTACGTGGCTTGCCATCATTTATGAATGCTTTGTACTTATTAGGTTATACTTATTAGTGTCCTACTAATATGTTATTTTCTAATAGTCACAGGTCAAATATGTCATTTATTTTCCCATTAAATAAGACTAAATAGTACATTAAACATTGAAGGCACCATGTGTTTATATGATAACAATGCCGCTGGTCAAAGTGCACCATTCTGCTGTTGTACACTGTTGATCTCATTGCATTATTATCAATATAAAACACTAAGTTCCTTTATTAAAATAACAATTTTGTTTAAGAATGCATGTGAGAATAATATTCATGATTTCTTCATATTGTAGATAAAAATTGTGCCAGTTTGCTCCAAGATGCGTATGTAGATGCAGTTAAACAGAAAATAAGAACTTTGGAATCAAGAATTGCACAGTCTGAACTTCTGCTACCACAGTTAGAGTGGCGACGTCAAGCTTACATGGAGGACACCGTCAGCGCTTTGACCAATAAAGTAGCATTTTTGAACCGCAGGTTTGATGAGCTTTCACCTCAGTTTAGGGCCAAATTTCCTGAAACTATAGCTTGAATACAATCTTAGGATTGCCAAATATGTAATTTGGCCTTTCCTTATTATTACTGAAGATATAAATGTTTAAATGTTTGAAATTAAAAATGTTTTCCGTTATATAGAATTACCTTCACATATATGTATGACCTTTTTTATGCACGATGTGAGTAAATATGAAGAAATGATAAATAATAATTTAGGAATGGTAAGTGTAATATAAATAATGTATTTTTTTGTTGTATATTATCCATCTGATATAGCGTACTTTATTTTATTTTTTCTAAGTTGACTCTAAGAAAATAAATTCTTTCCAGCTTTATTTTATTTAAAAATCAAAATTTTATGTGACGGAATTAAATGTCACATTATGTTCATACCCATCTGCCCCTCTCCCTTTCCCGCTATCGTTCCAAAATTAATAAAATTTAATAGCATTTATGGCTTGTCCCATACCCCCAAATTGACAATTTTCTGATAAAGCCTGTGCCTTCTGGTACAAACAAAAATAAAAATAATTTTTACTACCATATGCAGACATAGGGTTGCCAGATCTCCGGGTTTGACCCGGAGTCTTTGGGTTTTGATGGTACATCTTCGGGCTCCGGGTTAACATGTCATTTCTCCGGGTTTTCTGGAAAAATCATACATTTCCTACATTCCCTGATTCCGTCCTTTTTTTTCCTCCTGGTCTATCATGAAGTAGATATTCATTACATTCTTTATGTTCTTTTTTCTTAGACATCGATATCTTCGAAAACAATTTGTCTTCCAGATTTCCTGAGACCCTTTTTTTATATTTTAGACATTGATTATGCAAACGGCTCATGTGTCCGGGGTCTGTCATGAAATAGATCTGGTAACCCTATGCAGACATCCTGAGAAGATAAAACTGGTTCCAATTTGTAGATTGTTTTTTGTGACTTTATTTAATTATTTATTTATTTGGTAAAATTACAAGACAGGTAAGTAGTAATCGGTAGTAATAATAATAAAAGGAAAACTAATTATACATACCTAGACATAAATCTGGCATTAAAAAAAAATTTTGAATGTAGGACCACATTAAACAAAAGTGAATAAAGTATAGGTACTTATATTTGTGTATCATATAAAGTTTTTCTTTAATAAGTTAATTGTAGTGTGACATTATGGAAAAGTCAATATTTGAACAATAATGGTTTACCAATTGAATCTTTCTGCAGGTAGTATTTGTGAATTCTTCGTTTTCCTAAATCGAATGATAAAAAAGTAAGTGCTTCTATATTATTGAGGAACAACAATGTTAACATGAATGTTGGATAATAGGTAGTTTAGGTGCAATAGACATATTAGTGATTATTTTATGTAAAAATGGGATGGAGTGTCGATCTGACGATGGTACTGGAGTAGGAAAACATGGTGCAAGCCATACACTCAAAAAAATTTGTGTCTGTAGGACGCAACATAACTAATGTATTTCAAGTTAAATACTGGTTAATTTTTAAAAGAAGACTGGCGTGTGGGATGCTAGTTTTAACTTGATTTATATAAACTGCAATAATATTTTGTTTCATTAATGAACGTCGTTTTTCAATCCTGCTTCATGATGCTGCTTGATGAAGAAAAGTGTACATGTGGCTGCCTAAAGTGTTCAATATACTTTTATTTTAAAAAAACTGACTGAAGTTATACTGCAAGTCAAATTGCACTTGGTTATAAAAATGCTAACTGGTCGCTATAATCTATGAAAATATCTACATAGATCTATATAATAATGAATCCTTATGTAAACTATGTATTGAGAAGCATAAGATAACCTCCGCATAATCTTCAAATGTGAAGCATTAACAATTGGTGATACAACCTCATAGCAACAAGGAGGATCTTCAAATCAGAAAGTTAAAGAAAAGGGTTGAAAATCTGACATAAGCAAAAAATGTTACTTAAAGGATAGACACAGCAATTAGTCGAGGAATTAAAACACTAAAAACGGCCTTACCTCCGAAATCTGTGCAGTAAGATGGATTGTGATGCAGTTTTTTGCATTTGATTTGTTAGAGGGTCCGGAAAGTTTGTGATCCTATGTGATCAATGAGAAATGAAATCTGCAACGGTGCATAAGAAAAATGCATTTTTATAATTGCATCTTGAAGAGTTAAAAAATGAAAAATTTATAACTTGGAAACTATTGACAGAAATGAGTTCAGTTTTGCTACTCGGGGGTGTTTAGGGTAGCTGAACACGAATATCACGATGGTAACAGTCTCCCAGTCTCCTGGAGTTTTGTAGAAATTCTTTATAAACTTAGTGGAAACTCTTTACCTCGGGGTTTTTGGGGTTGCTCAACAGGAATATCTCTAATGGTCTCTGAAGTACACCGATGTCATCTTCATAAGCTTTATCGAATATCTAAATAAATGTAGGAAGCATGGATTGAACTGCAGCATCGCGTGCAAAAATTGTGCAGGCATTAATTGCACGAATAATGAAAAATATTTTGCAAATGACATATTTTCTTCGGAACTGGAAACACTAGATGAAGAAGATGAAGAACATTATAATGAAAATTAAAAAATTAAATCAGAAAAATTAAAATTGTAAAGATATCTAAGTAAATTTTTTTGAAAACATGTACTTTTTGTAATGGATAAATGTATTTTTATAATAAAAAATAATTAAGAATAAAATAGTTGTCACAGAAACCAGCCATCCTGGGTATTAGGTACCTCGAGTACCGTTACCGTCGTGATATTCGTGTCGAGCGACCTCAAAATCCTCGAGGTAACGAGTTTCAGCTAAGTTTATAACGAATTTCCACAAAGCTCCAGGAGACGACATGGAAACCGCTCACCCTGGGCACTAGGCACTTCCGTTGCCGTCATGATATTCGTGTTCAGTGACCCCAAAAACCCCGAGTAACAAAATTGAACTCATTTCCATCAATATTTTCCGAGTTATATATGTTTCATATTTTAACTCTTCGAGATGCAATTTTAAAAATGCATTTTTCTTATGCACCGATGCAATTTTCATTTCTCATTGATCACATAGGGTCACAAACTTTCTGGAGGCTCTAATGAATCGAATGCAAAAAACCGCATCACGATCCATCTTACTGCACAGATTTCAGGTTTCAGGTTTAATTTCCTTGACTAAATACAATAGGCCTACAGATTGCAGGGTTGAGACAATCAGCCCTGCTGGCTGTACCTATTGCAGTAATGTAATGTAATAGTGTCTGTACTAGTGATACTCATAAGAGTAAATAATTACTCTTATGGTGATACTACATTAAAATTAAGTACTAATTTTCTCAGAAAATTAAATTTTCTCTGCAGTGTTTTATCCGTTTCAATGTTAATTTGATACTATTTTATTTTTCAAGTTTCAAAACAGCAAATTATTTCGAAAATAATATTTTTGAAATACCTATACATATTTTTTGAGATCTTAGGGTTGGCAACTCCAATGTCGCAAATGAAAACAATCGGATAAAAAATGGACTGATGCAAATGTTTTCAGGACATCCCCTTATAAGTATTATTTGCAAAAAATAATTTTCCATATACCAATAACAAACAAGTGGCCCCAGAAAAGAACCTTGACAGACTCCAGATTGAATGTGTAAAAATGTACTTTAGAGCTTATTCCAATCAAGAGCCAACTTTGGTTTATTAAAGTAATTCACGATACATTTTGTCAAGAGCTTTTCTTAGATCAGTGCAGACAGAATAAACGTACAATTAGCAATCTAGGTTATTAGGTAAATACCTGTTGTAAGTCATAACACTTACCTTTAATATTTAGTACCAATTTTAGTTATGTTCTATGCTTTTTTAATTCTTTGATGTTTCAATATCATTTGACACTATCTTTAGGACTCGTAAAGATATCCAATTTAACAAACTCGAAAATGGCATCAAATAACACCGAAATGATGAATAAATAATTGTTTTATAATGCATATTCAACTAAAACTCCTTGGTATTGATAAAATTAAGAAAACTTAGTTAATGTATAAACGGTTTTATTAGTCCATAACTAACCACATTACAAGAAATTTGTTCTTGGTTTACGGACAGAGAATGTGTTCATAGATTTGTGTTGAATACGTTTGGGAAGAGGGAAACGAATCCTAGAATCATGGAACTGTTTCACTTGTGGTCTTCTGGTATCAGACGCTTTAACCTCTTCAACTTTGATAATCTAAAAACAAAAAATAATTTTTAACACGATAAAAACTTTATAAACTATAATTAACTAACAAAATTATAATTAATTCTATCTAACTGCAGATCCAGGATACAACTCAGATTAAAAAATTTTTTATTGTGATTTAAAAAATACCACTTATTGCTAAATGACGCAGCCGACAATTAATAAAAAAATTCAATGTGAGGCACAGAAACAAGTAATTGGTTATGAAGAAAACCAATCCCAACGATGCGAAGTGCCAAGATTGTTATAGCACCGTTTACGACCTACTCGTAAATATACTTAGGAGTAGGAGATACCATAGTGCATAGATATGAAAAATAAACTTTCAAATTTGATAGTCTTACCTGAATTGAATGGGCACGAGCCCGATGACGAGCTCCCATATCCCTATAGCAAGTGGTCACTGCCCCCGAAACACTAAGATCTCGGTACTCCCTGTACATATTATGTGTACCCGAACGAGAATCATATCTAAGCCAGATGCCAAAGTTTTTAATTTTAATTGGAGATTTTTCTGGTATCAACTTTACAGATACAATCTCTCCAGTAGACTTCTTGAATTTTTTCAACTGACGTAAGAAATACCAGAATCTTGATTTGGCTACAATTTGATCAGGTGCGAAAATTCTCATTTTGTATAAAGGAGTATTCTTCTCCTTTTCCGTTGGCAACTTTCGGCCAATGACTTCATATTCTTTTAACTAAAAATAAAATATTAATTAAAAAGGTTAATAAGACCAAGCTCAGTATGCACGTGTATTGTTGTAAGAAAAGGAGCGTATACCTATCAAATTACATCACTACATTTATACCTTTATGTGCAAATTTTTTTCAAGAGGTCAAATAATATATTTTAAATTAATATTTTTCGCTAAACTATAATAAAAACTTTTAACTAACCTCTCCCTTTGCCTTCATGGCTGCGGTTCTTTGACGGAAAGGAAACGGAAATTGGAAGAACAGAAAAACTTAGTTCTTAGTTTTGACTTTTGTCATTTGGCAGCAATGATGTTGCTTATGCTTCTTCTTCTTTTCTTCTCAAACCTCGAGTTACGCCACGCCATTATTCCATGGCTAGAAATTGGCCTCAATGATTTGGGATCGAGGGGGATTATCCCTCTTTATCCTGCCTCATCTCGTGTAGGCCTGGACAGC